GAATTTTACAATCATTAACTAACACAAAGAAATAAAAACCATTGAAAAAGTGCACAAGTAATAAAAATATAACCACAAAATAACTTATAAAAGTGCACAACTAATAATTAAAATGCTACAAAGTGGCTTATAGAAAACTATTAACTAACACAGAGAAACAAAAATCATTGAAAAAGTGCACAAGTACTAAAAACAAAAGGCCACTAAGCGGCTTACAACAGTGAATAACCATTATAAGGATTTGAAAAAGTGCACAAGTACTAAAAACAAAAGGCCATTAAGTGGCTTATAAAAAAGCCAAAGATAGTCAGAAGGTGCACAATTACTACCAATAAAAGTCCATATTAACCTATTTATTGTCATCATTCTTACCTAGATCAACATTAATAGCAACAAGTGTGTCCCTCCATAATTTTTTCTATTGGGTGATCTATCTCATCAAACATATAAATAAGGCTAGTTGATAAAAAAGACCACTATTATTATAAAACGAAATGAAAAGGTTAGTTGATAACTTATCCTTTGAAACACACGTGCATTTAATGCTGAGAATATTTTGTCTACCACTTTTCTTGATTGTTGAGCTTCAATCTTAAAAAAACAGATGTACTCCAAGGGCTTTCTAGTCTTTTTAACTTGACTTGGATTCCAAAGTTATATTTAGAGTAACTTTCTCTATATAAAAAATACATCCAAAAGGCAAATTTACTCTAAATAAAGAGAACAGAAAGAGTAATATATTAAGCCAAACTAAAGAAAATAAAAATCTTCATAAAAAAAAGTTAAAGTATCATGTTGAAAGAAATACTAATTTTTTTCTGGAGAGAAACTTGCAAAGACATAACTTGTAAAGTTGAGCAATTATACTCTCTCCCTCTCTTTCTCAGCAATAGCCAACACCATAGTTTAGTTTCAAATTGAAACTAAATTGAAATCAAATAGTAGTCAGTTTTAGTTCCACATTTTTATAATTACAATCAACAATTTCAGTTCCAATTCCAATTTCAATTCCTCATTTGAAACGAAAAGAAAAAAAAAGAGAAAAAAAAATTGTGAAATTAAGTACTATCAACGAGACTCACAATTTATTTTTTATTTTGTTATAATCTTTTAAAATAAAAGTTGAGAGTTCTATTGAACTCGTTAAGTTTTTTTTCAATATTTATTATTATGATTAATCATGTTTAAAAATAAGAAAAAAAATGTGAAATTGACCCTTGAACTTTCATAAATCATGTCAAAGATCTAAATGAATATACAAGTTGACATATGAACTTTCACTAAAAAGTCTCGTGGCACCATGCACTTAATATTTAACTTTTTGGCCCTTTGAACTTCATTTTTTACATATACATCAAAGTACAATTTTAAACTTCACTTTGCATATCAATTACACACCGTGCCATGTTGGAAAACCTAATTGAGAATGCACGCGCGAGAAAAGAGAGTAATACACGTTTAAGCATCCAACCTGACATATTTTTTAAGCTTGTCCTTTTACTTTAAATTCTCTTTCCTATTTTTTTAATGTATATTTGATAGATTTAGAAAAAAAAAAAAATCATCCATGGCGCCCATGTAGAAATCTGCAAGATATGAACGAAAAGAGATAGAGAAAAGGGGTTTTAGGCCTGCAACCACTTCGATGCTTAAGTCAGTAAAAGAACAATAAATATTTGTAATTAAATGAGATATTGTATTGTTTATTGCATAGATATTACATGGATTTTGCGTCGATATTCCTATCCGAGTAGGGAATTTGATCCCCTTTATATAGAGGTAGAAAGACTTTAATTAGAGTTGTAGTTGGAATCTTTATTGGATACGTACTCGTGAAGGAAAAGGGATAAGATTTTCTAATCATATTCTGATTCTATATGAATAATAATATTTGATCCTAAAATATAATTAGATCTTATATACAAATTACGGTTAAATTTCTGATAAATATTTATATTCCATCAATATTTTTAATGCTAAATTAATTAAAATAATTTTTTAAACTTTACTAATTCTCATTCCTCTCTCTTCTTCGTCTTCTTCTTCAGATGAACATTGTCGGCAAGTAATTTTTTTTTTTTTTTTTTTTTATTTTTAATGTCTTTAATATAATTATATAATTAATTTTTTAAACTTTACTTAATTCTACATTCCTCGTCTCTTTCTTCGTCTTCTTTCTTTCAGATGAACATTTTCGGCAGTAATTTGTTTTTTTTTATTAATTTTTTTTTTTTTTTTTTTGCCTCTTGTTACGAAATGGAGAGATTATAATGATTTTTTAATTGAAAATTTTTTTACAGTTTAAAAACTTTTGCAGTTTAAAGCAAAAAATTACAGATCTAACAAAAGAGAACAAAATAAAGCTAAAAGAACCAAGATTTAGAAAAGAAGATCTTATATAAAACGAGAAGATAGTATCCAAAAAGGAACCCAACCTAGTCTACTTTATGTTTCAACTCAATTTTCATAGCAAATCAAAATTTTTTTAAAAAAAAAAAATTACTTCTTGGGTATTAGAAAAGAACTGAAAGGATTATAAAATCTGCAGGTTTTTGTATGTGTGTCTCTGCTTTCTTTCTCTCTGGTTAGATTTCTAATGAGAGTTGCATTTATCTAATATAGTTTCTGCCAAAAAAAAAAAAAAAAAAAAATTTGCATTTATCTTAATAAGTTTCTGCCATAGAAAAAAAAAAAAAAATAAAAATGAAAAAAACAAATTTAAAGAGTCGAAATCAAATTAAGCATTATATATATATTATTATATAATATATATATTTATATATTATATATATATATATTATATATGCTTTATTGATATTCTATATGGGTTAAATTAAAATATGTAAAAGTCTTGAAATTAAGAAAATTTAAGTAAAAAGAAAAAGATACTATGCCTATATTTTCTTGTGATAATCTTATAAAAAAGATTTAATAAAATTAAAAAAAAAAAAAAAAAGATAGAGTTAAAAAAACATATTAGCAAAAGAAAAAATAACATAGAGACATAAATTACAAATTAAAATTAAGCACTCATACATAGTCATGGCCATGGTTCCGAAACCGCCGGTTCCATTTTCAAAAAATTTGGAACCGAAACCGAACCGAAAATTTTCTGTTCCGATTCCGGTTTGCAACCGAAATGTTTCGGTTCCTTAACGGTTCCAAAACGGACGGCTCCAATTGGTTCTCCGACCGGTTTTCCGACGAATCAAATAATTTTAAATTTTAAATTTTGAAGACCGGTTTTGAAAATTTAAAAATTTGTGAAAATTATTTCTAAAAAAAATACACTTAAAAAATAAAAAAAATGCTTCAATTAAATTTTTTTTTTCAAAAGACTTGAAATTAATTATTTTTTTAAAAAAAGTCTTCAACTGAATTTATTTTTTGTTTAAAAAAGTTGGAACATAATTCTTTTTTTTTTTAAAAAAAAGGGCTTGAACTTTTTTTTTTTTTTAAAAAAAAATAAAGTTGCCAAATTATTTTTTTCAAAAAATACCTTTTTATTAAATTAAGCATGTGCCGTTTTATTAAGCCTTGATGATTGTTGGGAGGTGGTAATTAAGATCGATTTCACAACAAATTTATTAAAACTAGCCGTTATGTAGCCGTTGATGATTGTTGGGAGGGGTAATTAAGAGATTTCACAACAAAATTTTAAAAAAAAAACTGACAGTTTCTAACGGCTAGAACCGCCAGTTCAAATCGGTTCGAACCGGCAGGAGAACCGCTGGTTTCTTCTGGTTCCGACCGGTTTGTGGAACCGCCGACTCGTGGTTCCAACAATACTAGAACTGGAACCGAATCGAAAATCTCCGGTTCTGATTTCGGTTAGGACCGATTCCGGTTCCCAGCGGTTTCGATTCCGGTTCGGCTCCTGTTCGAACCACCGGTTCCGGTTCTGGGAACCGTAATATGGCCACCTCTATTTTTTAAGGATGTGTGAGATTACTACGAGGTGTGTGATTGACTTGTCTACGTCACAGCATGTCAAATTCACGTATTAATTTTTCCTCTGCAAGCTGTGTAATCGATAAAAAAAGTAAAGTTTAAGAGGTAACAAGAAAAGTATGAAGGGCCATAAGACTTTTTAGTGAAAGTTTAAAGGGCAATTTATATATTCAGCCACTCTATATTAAATCAATATTTTGTATATAAATATGAAAAACATTAAAGATTATTATTCTTAATTAAGGAGGTGTGAGATTATTACAAAAAATAAAATTGATGGTATCACAAAGTCGATTGAAAAATTCAAGGGTTAAATTATGTATTTAGCTATCTTTGATTTGTATACATTTGAATATTGCATCCTTTGAAAAACTACATTGCTTAATATTTGGATAAATAACTATTCAGTAATTTTATTATAACTTCATCCTTTTTATTTGGTAAATATACTTATTAGTTTTTGAGAATTAACTCTATTAAACTATATAGTCTTTTCTTTAGAAATTGTTATTTTTACCGTTTATAAATAATTATATTTGCAGTTAAAGTGACGAACTAAACAACAATTCAATAGTGTACATTAGAGATTAAATAGTAGTGTTATATTAGATGTGAAGGGTTAAACAGTGAAATATTATTGATACATTTAACGGAACTAAACTTTAGGGACTAATTAATATATTTACTGAACAAGAGATGTAGAATTATAGTTATGACAAAATTTAAGGACTAAATAGTTGTTTATCCCAATATTTGAGTCTATTTCTTACTTCTTAACCTGTATGAAAACAGTTGTTAGGATTATTAGATAGTTTGAGATATTAAACTTCTAGTTACTTGTTTATAAATATTTCTATTCTCAATAATCAATTTAAGAAAGTCATTTTTACCCAAATACCAAATCTCATCCAAAGTATATTCTCATTTTAAAGTACAAGTACTAATAGTTGGGAGAATTATCCAGTATTGCTCAACACATACGAAGAAGGGAAAAATAAAGAACATAACATTCTAATAAACAAAAATAGGAGAAAAATTAGCTTTGAGACGGAATCAAAGAAAACTTTTACTTATCATTCCATGTATATCTTAAAAACGAAACAGAATAACACCATCCAACACTAATACCATTATTCTATTCTTTTTTAATTTATGGAAAAATACTTGAGTCCCTAATTTATATCCTAATTATCAAATTCATCCCTTTATTTTCAAGAAATTACCATACAGTCATCAACATTTGCTTAAACTCATTATTTGATCCTTTCATCCAAAAAGTAGGACTTTACTGTTAACTAAACATATTTTTTGGAGAGTATATACTCACTTTTGGATGAAAAGACCTAATAATAAATTTAATTAAAATTAGGGATGCCATAGTAATTTCTCAAAAATAGAGACACGAAAGTATTAATTAAAATATAAATTAAATATCCAATTGTATTTTTCCTTAGTTTATTTCTCTCTCATGCATAATTTTTTTATATTGCATACAGTGCACTAGCATAAAACTATAGCCATATGTGGAGACTTGTCCCTTCATCATGTTTATTAGAAAACTCTTGCATTATTAATTGATTGAAGGCTTCCTTTCCTACATAGAAAAAAGAATAAAAATTCATTAGTACTTATTATTTTCATTTTCCACGTTGATGGAATTTAGGTGATGGAACTAAACATTCATAGATTGCTATTTTCATTATAAGAAACCAAATAAAGCTTTTCACTTACCATTTCCTTTGAATCTCTTAGGTAAGGGGAATTGGAGGTATATGATAAATTTGCTCAGGAGGCGTGTATTTCTTCGGTAATGGCCTCCCTACAAATTGTGGTGTCGAAAGAGATTTCTTGTGCAGCCGCGGCGATTTTCGCAAGGGGCGATTATAACCATGAGATGGTGTATTGAAGTGAAAAGGAAGTGATTTATGGTTTCTTCCATATGGTGATGGAAGTAAGTTGTTGGGTGTTAGAGGTGAGGCGTGCGTGAGATATGGTCTTGCTAAGGCATTCGAAACAAGACCTAAAAATATCATGACTAGTAAAAAACTACCAGTCTTAAACAAGCTCTTTGAGGCTCTCATTTCTCTTTTGATTCTCTTTAAATTCCTAATTATGTTTCTAACTACAAATGCTACCTTCTTATATAGAGATAGATATCTAACTTACCTATTCATTGTCGATGGGAATTGAAGACTTGGATGACTTGGACTAAACTTAGTGCAAACGGTTCCAACGTCCAACACAAGCCTTTGCTTTGGAAGACTTTAACCCTAGTCTTTTTTTTTTTTCCCTCTAAGTCATACGAGGAAACTACGCAGGAAAAGTATTGGCAGACTTGACCAAAATAGCAAGACTGCCTTATTTTCTCTCTAATTTATTGGCTTCCCGTAGGGCTGGGCACAATTGGTTCAAACCAACAAAATCAAACCGATCAGTTTGATTCGGTATATGATTTTAAAACTATTAGGTTTGTTTTTCCTAATTTGAACCAGATCAATCCAATGTCAATCCCTAAGTAACCCAATGAGATCTTCCAAAGAAATTCCTTTGATAGCTACATGGCCACTAGGCACTTGGATAGCTAGCTAATCCCTTTAATATAAAATAAAAATGATATATAAAATAAATTTGAAAAATTTTTTGAGTTAGGGAGGACGGGAGCCACACCATCCCCCTCCCCGCCTCCAAATTGTTGTGGAAAAAAAAAATTATATTTGAAAGTTTTAACAAAATCATATTTAAACTTACAGAAACAGAGTGCAAGAATTTATTTTTCATCTGTTGGAACAAATTATTTTTAATTTATATCCAAAATTTGCTACTTAAAATAGCAATACCAATATGACAGATTTACTTGAGATTGCAAGTTTTGCGCGAGTTGTGCAATTCTAGAATCTAACTAGTCATTATAGCATTTACTTAAAGGATGCTGTTTTTCGGCTGTGTTGTTAGTTGCTTGGAAATTTCATTCTCAAAATAAATAACGAAAACCAAATATTTGGAAACTTCCATTGCAATTCTCTAAAGACTTGATGACTTGGACCAAATCAAATAAAGGATGAGCACACGTTAAAACTTAGGTTGCATAGACACCTTAAAAAATCTGACATGCTGATGTCGTATCTATATCGGACACTAATACTCTTTGGACACCAATACTCATTGAATACTCTTGGACACGTGTCAGACACTTTTAAAAACATGTTCAATTATTTTTTTTAATTTTAATAGTTTTTGACACTTCTACAACACTTCAAGAATACTTCAAGGATACTTTTTGGATACTGTAAGGACAAATTTATCATGAAAGCCAAGTGTTGGGGGGCAATTCATGGTGCAAGTGCTCCTCTGTTCCAAAAAATGGCCTTTAAATTGCTTGGTCAATCATCTTTTTCATCATTCTGTAAAAGTAATTAGAATACATATTCATTTATCAATTTTATGAAAAGGAATATAATAACTCCAAAATGTGCTGAAGATTTGATTTTTATTCATAGTTAATCTTCCACTTTAATCAAAAAGAAGCCCACGATATTACATTCAATAAACAAAAATGTGGAATATTGCATGCGATCAATTTGATTCTTTTGAAAATATTGGAATTCCTGAAATCATCAATTTATTTCAAATAAGCTAGAGATTGAGGCGATGATCTTTAATGATAATGTTATTATTGAAGATTTAACTAATGATATTGAAATAGAAAATTAAATATTATTTATTTTATATTTATGACTTATTATAGATTGTTGTTTACATATTTTAATTTCTTAATAAATTATATTTTTTTAATGTAACTTATCCTGAGCGTGTTGTGTTCTATTTTTTTGAAAATCGTCATGTTCCGTGTTCGTATCGTGTCCCACGTCCGAGCCTATGTGACCTAGATTAAAACTAAATGCTGAAGCAAACCGATTTAATTTGACTTTTCGGTTTGGTTATTTGAAGTGATTAGCTTGCTTTGATTTATGATTTTTTTTAAAGGAAAAAGAATAAACTTTATTAAGAAGATAAATCCATTAAAACAAGAGAAAAAATAAACCTAAGAACCTCTTCTACTTATGTGTAGTATCAGTAGAAGAAAAGGCCAATGCAGACATGAGCAACACCATTGCTTTGATTTATGATTTTAGATAGTTACAATTCTTAAACATTATATGAAGAAAAAATAAATTAAATTCACACAAAAATGAATCCAACCAATCAAATTAAACTAACTTGATTCAGTTTGATTCTATATGAAGTTCAATTTTTTAGCTTGGTTTTAAAAAAATAGTTTGATTTTTGATTATATGAAGTTCAATTTTTTAGCTTGGTTTTAAAAAAATAGTTTGATTTTTGATTATATGAAGTTCAATTTTTTAGCTTGGTTTTAAAAAAATAGTTTGATTTTTGATTATATGAAGTTCAATTTTTTAGCTTGGTTTGAAGCACGAATTTTAGACAGTATGAATTGATTAGAAAACATTAAGGGGACAATTTTGTAAACCACAAAAACAAATTGATAAAGGTGCTCGTATCCAGATTTGAACTCAAAATATCAATTAAAAAAGAAAGACTCTATTGTTCCATCTCAGGTCCCTTGTATAATAATGTGATTTTATATTGAGAAGCATTTTATCCTTCACATAATCAACTGTTTGAAAACAAAGAGCATAAATTTTTATCTTTGACAAAATTGTCCTTGGTGCTTCAATAAGTATCCATCCCTTGCATGGAAACACAAGACTTAGGGCCATTGATTCCGCATGCTTTCAATTGCACGCGTACAATATCGCCAAGCCAAGCAAAGACTTCATTTTGCTTTTTAGAGTAAGGGTTTCAGTAATTCTTCGTCCTTTGTCACAGTTTCATTTTTATTTAACATGCTAACAAATGATGATTAATTATTAATATGATACGTTAGATTTTCCTCTCTTCTAGGTTAGATCTCATCAATTTCTCAATTTCTTCAAACACAAAACAGAGAAGGCCCAGACTCATGACTACTTCATAAGCCAAAGAACATCAAGGAAAGATGTGTGGGTAGTTAAGGACACCTGAATTTTTATTGGATGTTTGCAAAGCTATGAGAGATCTTGAAAATAAGAAGAAAAAGATAATGGTTATTGAGGACGGTGAATAAAGAAATGCTCGATCCATCATTCAATGCGCCAAAAAAATCAGTCGGGTACAGTGTTCGATTCCTTTAGAAAACAACAGGAACTTTGTCAGAGAATAACACATCCATCTTTTCCGGCAACGAATTTGAATTCTATTACTCTTTTGACCACAATTTTCTTCCTGCCTATTGAACAGCAGTGAGAGAAAGTATTACAAGGAAAGTAAGCAAAGAGCGAACAAGGGACAATTTGAAAAAAGAGAGCTAGATAGAATAAAGGAACGAAGGTATCGAAATGCTTGGAAAAATGGCTATCGAATCTTGAAAATGCCAAAGACGAGCAGCCACAAATTGAACTATATGCATAGTAAAGGAGAGAATATTGGTATATCGTTAGTCATTTGGTTGGATTTTGAGTGCAAATACCATCATTCATGCCTAAGTCTATTATCCGATGGAGAGGGCTAAATTGAAGAACAATCTTGTCTTCAATAATATAAAAATTTGTGCCTTGGCTTTAACAATAATAGCTCGTGCAATATCAACCACCCTGAATAAATTTTTCTTAGGTAAAGTGTTCATATGGTTTATGAATAACAGAATGATAAGTTTATAATAGGCTAATAAGAAAAAAATTATCACAAAAATTTGTTTTGCACGTAGAAGGTGAGAAAGAAATCATTTACTTATGAAATTTTAGTAAAAAATTCTAATAGGAATTTACCTATTTCTAAATCAGAAATTGAATATTTACTGGACTCTACTTACTCATATATATTTAATATATTAATCTAATTAACACATTCCCTAACTAGAATGAATTATAAACATTCGGAACATAACGCTACTTCTGCTTTTCAGGTGATCAATATGAGTATATGATGGTTAGAAGTTAGAAATTCTCGTTCTACTTGATTAGAGAAAGTAAATAGGATCGAACTACAACCTGATTGATCAATGCGTTCATTATCCAATATCCGAACATATTCTAATCCTTTGCTTCTGAGGTGACACCAGTCATATATAGCGAATTTTAGTGATTTGTTATGTAAGTTAAATTTGTAAATAATCTTACATGTTTAGGCTCATCAAGATTTTATTATCATATTTGGTTCCACCGTATATCGTAAGTATGTTCACACAAGTATAGTGAATACAGCATACTGTATCAATGGACTTCTATTCTTCAAACTCATGTTATATGAAACTGCGGGGGTAGAGAATCGAAACCTTTCTACCTACGTTGAGTTTGTTCATGGCATGAGTATGAAATGAAGGAAGACAGCAACCTCGATTTCAATAAAAAAAGCATATGCACGAAATCAAATGTCCGCATTCGAAGCAAGATTTTGAGTTCTTATTCATGATGGGTAATTCCTTCCTCCTTTTATCTCAAGAACCCCCTATGATGGTAAAACTCCTCAAGGACAGCGGCTGCAACTGCAAAAACAGAGAAAATCTTCATGGACAGCTCTAGAACATGATTCAATATGTGACGATACATTCACTCGTCTGTATATAAGTTAAACTCGATTTAAAGAAAGTCGGCTTGAAAGCATTATCTACACGAGTCTGGATGTAAAGTCGAAAGGATAAATTGAGAAGAGAACGGAAGGCAGTGCACATGGATCTTATGTGTCTGGCAGCAACTGGAAGCAAGGAATATTCTGAAAAAAGATTTTTGATAGATATTGTTAAAGATTTGTACTTCAGGAAAAAGTCCAAACCTGACATTTTAGTCCTACCACGGAAAGGTGGGTACCATTTAGAAGCTCAAAAAGAATTGCACCAATAGCTCCACATGTCACCTAAATAATTCATGTCTCATCTTTTTCAGTATCTTCTACATTTGTGTTGAGGAAATGGACAACAAATTCTTACTTTTCATATTATCCTTGGAATTGAAGATACTTTCTGGAGCCATGTACAATGGAACCCACATTACTGTCTCATTAGCTGGCCTGGGAGGTTGCACACTTCTGTTTTTTTATGAGGAAATAACTTCGTTAGATTATCCTGACAAATAACGATTTTGGTTAAGAAAATTCTGGCACAACTGTTCACAGAAAGGAAAAAGACAATGAGACTTAAATATACATTTTGGTCTTGCCTAAAAATTTGACAAGAAAAGCTC